CAAGTGATGGTCACGCTGGTATGGTGCGGAGAGGCAGTGTGATGTAGTAGTTAGAGTGTGGCAGTAAGATCTAGGAAGGCCAGGGTTCAAATCTACTCTCTACCAGTGTTCCCTTTAAGTTGAGTTAGTGTGAGCTAGCTCACAGTTTTTTAGCCTCTGGCTCACACATTTTTGTCTTAGCTCATGAAGGATGGCCCCAGAGCAAACTAATTTATGCAGTAACCAAATTGCTTGCTCACAACTTTAATGCCAGCAGCTCACAGGGTAGCATTTTTGCTCACAAGACTCTACAGCTTAGAGGGAACATTGCTCTCTACCATGGATGAGCTCAGATGAGTCACTCACTTGGCCTAACCTACATCACAGGGTTGTTGTGAGGGTAAAATGGAGGAGGGGAGGACAATGTTGGAAGCCACTTTGGGTTCTGATTGGGGAAAAGACTGGGACAAAATTAGAGTAAAGCAACAGATTTTATCCTTTCCACACCTTGGACCTACTGAACTGCCAGTATGTAATAGGAAGAGATTGAGCTAGTCTCTTATGGGTTCTCCAGTGTCAATGCCAGGACTGTGCAGCAGGCCAAAAAACCCAGGGACACAGGAGTGCACCAACACAGCATAAACAGGGCCAAGCTAAGGGTCAAAGTCATGGAAGAATGCTTACCAACCATTGAGTGACCTTTCCTTGTGGTGGTTATGTATATGTCTGTGAGGAGATCAGTAAAATAATGAGAGACAGTGTCATTCCTGGATTCACGTCTGGTCATTAGGGATTTTTCAAAGGCAAAGTAAAAAGGTGCTGCATAAAAATCGTATGTTCTCCCTTATCATTGCTGTAAGATTAGAAATCACTAGGCAATGGGAAATGACTTCAGTGCTAGTTGTTGAATCGTGGTACAAGATGGTGTGACTTCCGGTGATGTCAGGGGGTGTGGCCTTATGACACACTTCCGGTGATGTCAGGGGGTGTGGCATATGCTAATGAGTTATGCTAATGAGCTCCGGCAGCTCTTTTTCTACAAAAAGACCCCTGGATTGACCCTTTTTACTTTTCCTTTCAGTTTCTTCCCCACATGTCCCCTCATATCAGAGAAGTTACCCCTTTTAAAGTTAAAAGTGGTTGTGTCAGTCTTTTTGGCCTATTCCCTATTTATACAAATGTTGAACTGTTGAAATGTTGAATTAATAACCACTCTGAGCATGCTTCAGCTCTTATCTCTCTCAGTTTCTCTGGCTGTTAGCCATTCTTATTATTAATGCTTGCAGACCAGTTGGTCAAAAGCAAATAAGAGAATTGCACATACATATAAAATATGTTTTACAAATACAGCAATTGGGTTACCCAATATTAAAATCTACAAAAATACCTGGTAATACTGATTTTAAGATTTACAAATAATATTCCTTTGACTTAATTTGATTACTAGTTAGTTTGTTTAGTAGTACGTGAGTTCCTTAAGTTCATTGTCGTGGCTTCTGTGCAGTCCCAGGCCAGCCACAGAAAAGATTTCCAAGTTTTCTAATAGAATAGGAGCGCCCCTTCTCCCTCTGGTGCTTTCCTGCCAAAACACTCGCATGACCAGGAGGAGGGGCACTACTCCCTCAGTTCACTCCATGCCGCCGCTGAAGACTCCTAGAAACTAAAGTTCCAGAGAGTTCACAGTGGGGCAGGAGGGAGGGATGTGTGCTTGCCCAAAAGACCACTCGATGAACAATGGTTACAGGTAAGTGCAACCTCATTTTCTCCTTGTGTCTGTTGTGTCTGAACATTCCCAAAAGAAATGTAACTACTGAGACTGCAATGGCTGGATCAGAGCCACCAAGCAAGAATTGGAGCTTAGTTGCAACAGGCAAATCAACATCAGGGAGTAACGAATCAATATACTGGGTTCTCAAATGTTTATATCTTTGACAAGAGAATAAGAAAAAGACAGGCTCTATATTTTCAAAGGAACCAAGACCACAGCCACACAGACACTGAGAATAGGCCTTTTTAGCATAACACCCACTTAGAGCAGTGGTAGGTAACACAGTGAACCTAGCTAGAAAAAGGTTCTTCTGTAGGTTGAGATGGGGTCAAAAAGTCTATATATGGGCAACTGGACCTTGAATATAGAAAGCCAAAGAAAGCAGGAGAGCATATGCGATGAGCACGAAGAATAGCCATTCTTACACCTGGACTCTATCTTAACGCCAAGAAGTAGCCACGAGCAGATGGTACCAATGCTCCCTCTAAGTTGTGGAGTCTTGTGAGCAAAAATTCTACTTTATGAGCTAGTGGCATTCAAGTAGAGAGCGAATGGTTTGGGTACTGCATAAAGTAATTTGCTCTGGAGCCATCCTTCCTGAACTAAGACAAAAATGTGTGAGCTGGAGGCTAAAAAACCGTGAGCTAGCTCACACTCAGCTTAGAGGGAACTGCATGGTACAGTGTACAAGGGTACAGAATTCACCCACTAGATAATGAAACCAAGATAATGGATGATTTCTAGTTGCTTATGACTTCAAGAATGATATTGTCTACTTCTAATTACCTTTTTTACTGATTTAAAATCAATTATTACCATCTATAGGGATATATATAGATCTACATTTTCAGGATGGCTAGTCTGATCTCTGTGACCCATGTTAAAGCCCCTGTTCCTTTCACACATTCCAAGAGCAGAAGGGGAAGGGGGCAGCAACTATTCCTGCTGTTCTACAGTGCTCACTCAGCTAAGGGCCATACTAGACATTACAGCATCCACAGGTCCAACCCATGGACACCAGTGCCATTTTAGAGCTGAATTTGGCCATGTAAAAATGCTGAAGGGGCCTGATCTTGATTGGACTGCATCAAAACAGGTCCAGGCTGTTGCCCCTGCTCCCTCTCCACTATGACTTTTCAAGTGCCAAAAAGGTGTGGGGGTGGGTGGGAACCAAGATTACCTGGTCCAGCTGTGCTGCAGACCTAACCAGGATCAAGCCCTTGCAGCTTTTTTTTGTGTGTGTGGCCAAGTTCAGCTCTAAAGTGGTGTTGGCATCTGTGGGTTGGACCCATGGATGCTGTAACATCTAGTTCGGCCCTAAGTGTATTAGTCCCCTTGGTAGCAAGTGTGAAGGGAGAGGGAGACAAAGAGTATACCCTTGAATGGCAGATCAGCCGGGGGCGGGGGGGGGGTCTGAGCTCAAGCCCTCAGGTGGCATATTCCATAATAATTGGCTTGAGGATGGCAGCAATGCTCAGAGAGAATTAGAAAGTGGAGAAAGAGAAGCCAGGGTATCTGCATACATCCTTACTCCCATGTGAGCAGAAATGAGTGTGTGTGAGCCCTGTTTCTGCACAAAGACCTTCATATATCTTAACACATGCACATGTCCTAAGACCCATCTTCATTGATCTTTTATATCTGAGTTGGGTACTTTTCTCTCTACAGTGTATGCATATCGAGATGGCATGGCATATGGTTTGGGTTTTGATTAACTGCTTTCTTACTATGTATCCCTACTGATAAGGTATCCGTAGCTGAAAGGAGGTTGAGAAGGGGTAGCTTTCTGCCTTCTTGTTCTTTGCGTATCAGCCTCCCCATGCTTCTTATCTTATTGGTTGGGACATCCATCCCCATCCCCCAATTCAAGGAAGCACAGCTGCCAAAACACATTACATTAAAACCAAATAAAGCCCAAGTCAGGAAATCATCAGAGGAAGGAAAAGAACAGCAGAACAGAAATGTTAGTTGGTATGCAACTAAGCAAATTCCCTTTCCAACCAGGTTTGCCAGCCCAGCCTCCAGGTGGGGCCTGGGGATCTCCCACTTTTACAACCGATCTCCAGCTGACAGAGGTCAGCTCCCCTGGAGAAAATGGCTGCTTTGAAGGGTGGACTCTATGGCATTGTACCATGTGGAGGCCCCTCCCCTCCCCAAACCCCACCCTTTCCTGGCTCCACCCTCAAAGTCTCCAGGTATTTTCCAACCAGGACCTGGCAACCCTATTTCCAACTGAGGACTACAAACCTATTTCTTGAAGAGATAACTCAGTAACCTACTCCTGGTGCTCTCCAGAGAATCAATAATAAACCAACACCCAATCCCTATGTAAATCAAGGGAAAAAACTGGCAGAAGATTGTGCCCTCATTTCATCCCTTTCCTCCAGGCACTAAACCCAAAGGAAAATCCCCTTTGGTACTGCCATATCATTCACTTGACCCACATAATTCCTTTTATTGATATTAACAGAGGAGCAGGACATCTGGCAACATGAAAGCGAATAGCACATCCTGCAGTAATGCATCCATTGAATTTGAAAAAGAGTTACTGTGAAAAAGGGGACAGGAGAACAGATTTCTTATCATATGAACTTTACCATAGCTGGTACTTTTGACCTTTTCTTAAGGACTGACTTCTTCTACCTACTACTTCTAGGAAACAAAGGGTTAGACAGCCTTGTTCCAGAGTTTGGTATCTGTATAAACAGGGCAAAAAAGTGGGAAATGGGGTAGCTTAAGAAAAGGCTGCACCAATATAGATGACTCGATACATTTTGATGATGGTCCCAACATCATAATTGGTTTTTATGCTCTTTACTGCATCATGTTGGGGTGCGTCCTGTTCAGTGTGAGAGGAGCAGCAGTGCTCATGGGAGTTAATTTTCCTGCCTTTCCTTCTTCTGCAGCCTACTGTGCCCCTCATCAATGGAACCCCAGGAACGGCATGAGGCACACAAGGTGGGGGTCTGCCCTCCTTTTCTGCTGACAGTGTCAGGCGTGGTTTGAATACCTGGCCTACCTATGTTAAATTTACATATAAATTAGTAATAGGCCTATCCAAATCCTGGATGGAAACTGGAAGTTAGAAATGAAAATACTTAGAAATTACTGTTATTTTGAATACTTGGTAATTTTACAGCTGTCTTACCTTTCTTGTTCTTGTTCCAGCAAATTAGTAAATTCATCACTTTTCTCCATGTATTCTGCATGCTTCCTCTTTTCATCTTCTAGTTCACACAGAGTTTGCCTATGAGATTTCTCTACCATTAAGAGTTGCTCCAGCATCCTTCGGTGTGTTTCTTTATGCTTTTCGACCACTTTGTCAAGCTAAAAAGGAGTAACAGGATTCTCTCACTGTTCTTATTTTTGTCTAAGTGACAAGTTTCTTAGATCAGGGTATTGAAGTTGTTTGTTATGAGGGCTGGATCTGACATAAGTGAGACCTTGTTGGGCCAGGCCATGTGTGTCATAAAATGTAATGCCAGGTAGCACAGATATAAATTTTATAAAGGATACAAAGACAAAGATTTTTTTAAAAAAACTTAAAAACATGCTTAAAATATTAGCACTCTTGCAATATTTTGTTTATTTAACAGTATATGATAACTGACACCTCTTGCTTTGAATTATTGCATCAAAATCTGGAGACAATGTCCTGTAGCAATCTTGAGTATGCTGCTCAGGTGTGTATCTGTAAGTTGCAAACCTACTTTTGATTTATTGATATTCACTACAGAAATCTTACCGTCAATGCTTTGAGCCTAAGACCCAGAGGAAAACATGAAATGGCTGGGCATTGTGAGCTTTTGTACATAAGTTGCTTCGTGTGCTGGTCAAGAACATGTGAAGGCACCATGACACAGTCTTAGGGCTATGTGTTTGTCTACAAAACTATAGTCTTCCCCAGAGAATAGCTACAACTTCTATGTGGCAGTGCAAGAATAGAGAGACAGCAACATGTATCAGCCTACTATCTGGGAAGTCTAGGTTCCAAATCCCCAGCCTAGAAAAGAAATGTGCTGGGTGAACTTGGTCTGGACACACACACTCAGCCTAATCTATCTCACTGGGTTCTTGTTGTTCCTTATCTAAATAGTTCACATTGCTTTCCTACTGAGAAAGGCTGGATCACGAGGCACACACACACACACACACACACACAAAACCAAAACCCAACAACAACAACAGAGTTTTGGGTACAAAGAAGGAATGTCATTTCACAGAGAATGGCATGTGGAGAGAAAAAGAGGGGTTTGAGCTGATAAGAGAACAGAGAGTTTCTGGATGCAGAGAGAAGACAGACAGAGAAGAGTGTGTGCACTAGACTGGAGATAAAAAGCAGGAAGATTGAGAGGGGTTGCAAGTAGAGAAGAGAGAAGGCGCAAAAAGCTCATACTTTGAACAAAACTTTGTTGGTCTTAAAGGTGCTTTCTTTGTATCTCTCCCTTGTGATTGAGGGAACTGAGTAAAGCAATCCCAGGAGAGGAGGAGAGGGAGGAGCCTTAGCCAATGGAGGGAAGAGAGGCTTTGCTCTGTAGTTCTGCTGTGTGATTA